GACGCTTCCATTTTTATGATTGTTGTTGTTGCCCTCTTGTCGACATCGCTTGCTGCTTTTTCTATGGAGTATAACGACATCTCATTTGCTTTGTTGAGACACACATATACACAAAAAATACATAATGAAACATTTCTATTAGATATTAATGTCAGTGATGTTAATCCTTCATTTTGATTTATATAAAAGAACTTTGAGTTTTTATGCTTATATAACAAGGACCCATATGTACAAAACATGCTCCAAGGTTTAAGGATTAAACAAAATTTATTTATTTTTTCCTTATCAAAATATCAATTCCATTCACTTAAACCCTCCTACCTCTCTACCTCTCTCTCTCTCTCTCTCTCTCTCTCTCTCTATCTCTCTCACTCATTATTTAGAGTTTGGATCCACTAGGTCTGTTCATCGGTTGACATCCATTGGATGTGAGGGGAACCGAACCGATCCAATCATCCATTGGATGTTGGATTTTGCCAACCGATCCGATCCGATTAAAACCGATCCAATCCAATCCAATCGATGATTGAATCGGTTCGGTTCGGTTCCGTCCATTGGATACTTTTATTGGATATCCAATGGATGATCCGTTAGGATTGGATCTATCTAATGTGTTAAACTAATATAAATCTATCCCTAATTAACCCTATATAATTATCTCTGTTTTTAAATTTTAGATATTGATTGGGCGCCGAGTTGGACTATTTTTTGGGTTGATTTGCGAGATTAAGTGCATTTCTAGCTAATCAGATATTTTACAAATGATATGGAGAATTTTAACATTATGATAAATATATTTTTCGTATATCTCATTACAATGAAATACTTCAAGAAATATGTTTTTCATATCTTTATACTTTCATAATTGCTTTTATTTAATTTTAATCAATCTAATTAACATAAAAATTAGTTGTTGAAAAAATATATTTAAAAAAAAATATTGAATGAACTTTCATTAAAAGAGAAAAAAATAATGATGAAAAAGAAATGGGCCACATTTACAAGTTGCCAAGTTGGTCTCATGTGGGCTTCTAATCAATTGGTTAGGCTGGGCCTTTAAGTCAATTTAAGTGTTTGAACTAAAGATAGGCCAAAAATGGGTCCCAGTTTAAAATATTATTTTTGTAACCAGTCCAAGTCTTGTTTCCGGTCAAAAACCCAAGGCCGTGTTAGAGTTACAACCGCTTATGAGAACCGGTCCCGAGTCGGACCCAAACCAGTCCCAATTTTTTTTCTTCTAAAACTCACACTACAACAAAATTGAGTTTATATGACACCCCCAATCTCTAAGCATCCTAATAGACCGCTTTATAGAACTTAATTTATAGGACCAAAATATAAAGCGTCATATCTAAAGATGTTGTAATAAGTTTATATGACACTTTTAGGTGTCTTAACATGACGATTTATATAAACTTATTACAACACCTTTAAATATGACGATTTATATTTTGGTCCTATAAAGTGGTCTATTGAGACGCTTAGAGATTGAGGGTGTTCTATAAATCCAATTTTGTTGTAGTGGGAACGCCCTATAAACCCAATTTTGTTGTAGTGTTAGGTACAAACCGCATATTGTAGTGAGGTTTTTTTTACAGTTTGAGACATATGCATGGCGGTTTGCGTTTGGGAAAAAAGTCAAACTGCATATCGATCAGGTGCGGTTTACGATTTGGCACCAAACTGCACCACCACATACCTACTCATGCATTCTCCTCAATTTTGTCACCACGCTAATATCAGATTTATAGAATGCCACAAATCATTAAGTGTCCGAATAGACTATTTTACAGGACTTCGATTTAGAAGAACAATTAGATAGGACAATGTAAAAAAATTGTAATAAGTTTATAGCACGTTTTTAGGCGTCTTAAATAGTATAGGACACTTTTGAAACAAAGCGTCATATTAAAAGTTTATATAATATTAATTGAAAAAATGTCCTATAGACACAAACATCCTATAAAAAAGATGCCTCAAAAGTGTCATATAAAAAAAGCTAACATGACACAATATTTTTAAAAGCGTCCTAAAAACTATTTAAGACGCACCAAAAATGTCTTATAAACATATTGCAACACTTTTACATAAAACACATATCAGATTGGTTATAAAAAATAAGTTCTATAAAGTAGTTTATTACGTTCTTTATAAAAACCTGACATTATATAAAGTAGTATATTATGACATTTATAAAGTTGTAACGTTTTACAAACCCAATTTATTGTTGTGTACGGTTTACACCTTTAACCACATTGACGATTGTCCAGCCCGCCTTTATTGATTCAAATACCGTTGAGTCGAAAACACACGTTGATGACAAAATTTACCTTTTATGACGGGGAAAAGTCAAAATATTAGACTTGACAAATCCTATTAAGGTAGTCAATGCGATTGATTAAAGTAACAAGGATTAAAATTTGAAGTTTGCCAAGAAAAATAGGAAATGAAGAGAGTGGCAGAACTTTTTACACATCAATTTTGGTGTATCAAGAACTTCGATAGATAAATTTTGTTGAAGGCAAAAATTGACTATTTACGAGAAGTGTATTAATGAAAAATTTCTGAATGCGTGAGGTGAGGTCAAGTTTCAAGCCTAGTTATGGTGAAGTAATGGCGTTTTCTAAGGCATGACTTAAGGCGACAAATCTATTATAATATATATGTGTGTGTGTGTGTATTTATGTCAGTGTCTAGAACAATAATGATTAAGTTATTAACAATTTAAATTTATATAAAACGATAAAACAAAAGAAGAACTATAAATTGATAATTTGACACCAAATATACAAAGTTTTCAAAAATGATATCAAATATACAAAGTAAGTCACTGTTTACAGTTCCTGTTTGGTAATCAAACAACAAAATCAAAGTAATGAAATCAAAGAACAACAAATGAAAGTAATGAAATCAAAGAACAACAAATGAAAGTAATCAAACAATATTTTTGTTATACTGAGAAGTAATATAGGATTTTTTCTTTTTCCCTATTTTGTTGATTAAGTATTCGGCACTTATAAACTATAAAGTTATATTTACATTTACTCCTATTCAAGTTTTTAAAATTGAAAATTTTCTTTCACGTTATAACGCCATAACACTCCATGGCAAACCATGGTGAGCTTCACGCCTTATATCCACGTTAAGGGGCTTAACGTGGCGGCAAGGTTGTGCCTCGGCGCCTAGTTACGTTTTTTAGAACATTGATAAATGGTTAAATCATATATAAATTATAGTAAATCACATGTTATTTACAATACATCTAGAAGGGTCACGTTCACTAGCCATTGCATGGACGAGTTTTCATGCAACCTTGGTCACCTTGACAGTCGTCCACATCCATAGATGTGTTGTAAATCACATGTGATTTACTGTAATCACAAGTGATTTGGTGTTTTTCGTCAGAAGACCTCTTTTTCGTTTGATCCGCCTTATATATAAATATATTTTTTTAACATGTGATTTACTATAACTTGTTAGAATCGATATAAAAATATTTAACTTTTTACATATTTTTTCCATCAAATGCTATGATTTAAGGTATTATTTTACATATGTTTATGTTCACACTATGAAAAAAAATACATGCGAATTGTTTTTGGTTCACATAGTGAAACAAAAGATATATCTAAAAATAGTTTCATATTATAACATAAGTACATGTGAAACGATCATATTATGAAACAATTTTTTGTAAGACAATCATAACATTCGATAAAAAAATCATGAAAAAAATATATTTTTAAATCAGTTTTATGGGTTCATAATTAAAAGTAGTTCAAAATATAAACCACACAAACTAATCAATTCAAATATTTAAGGAAATGTCCAGGTTTATTTATTATGATTTGAATATTCATGGTATATTATTATTAAAATTCACTAATTATGATCAATATTTTATATTATGAAATAGTCAAGATATTTATGAAACCATATATTCATTAGTGTATATAGACGGTTGGAATTAGTTTTGTATTTGAAACTCTTTTTTTCTCCCTCTCTCTATGTTATATATGTGTGTTTGTGTGTATATATGATAGAGAGTTCAAATATAAACCATGTAATTGCTAAAAATACTACAAACCAATCTCGTTAGTCCATGTAGATGATCAACGACGTGAACTAAATCAATTTCTAAATTTACTGTTCACGGCATTTTAATTGATTTGATATCTTTCTCTAAATTTCAAAATCAAAGACCAAAATTTAGAGACAATTATCATTAGAGTGCTCGACGACTATAAAGACTTGGCAATTGGTCCCAAATTCAACAAAATGTGATTAAATTGTAATATTCTATTAGTGCTTTGTTAGTTGTGACTGACCTTTTCTTCTTGATATATATCCGAATTTTCTTTCTCTCCTAATAAAATAATATGTAACGAAAATTCATGTATTCTCGCACAAAGTTTTCCGAGAGAGACATTAATTGATTGGAATTTCGTGAGGAAACTATAAAATACTGGTCGATTTTGTAGCATGGAGACAAAGTGTGTTTAAACATGGTTTGATCCGGTAAGAGATGTCATTTTCTGTGAGAAATTTGAGAAATCAAACCTTCACATAATATAATATATGTGATTGTGTTTTTATATTGTGTGATGGCATAAAAATGATGAAGGTACATAAAATATAAAGAAACATTCATATAGAAGAAGTATACCTTCATCATTTTTCATGACACTTTTAATAACCAAAAATCCTTTTTTCTTTTACATGATCCAAGTCTCTCTTCCCCCCCCCCCCTCTCTCTCTCTCTCTCTCTCTCTCTATATATATATATATATATGGACTTGTGATTACGTGAGACCAGCTTGTTTTAGTGAGACCCGTGAGACCACTATTTTACACTTGAAACTTCACAATGTTTTTGTTGTGAAGGTTTGGAGATTTTTTACCTTCACAATATTTTCCGTGAAGTTTCAAGTATAATATATATATATATATATATATGTATGTATATATATATATATATATACACACCCAGATAAGAAAAGAGACCATACCTAAACCATAACAAGATAGATCGTGGTCTATGGATTTCAAGGTCTGTATTTCTCGTCTTCTTTGGATTGTCTTGATCATCGTTTTGGCTTATGGACGTGGAGCAGGTACGCATGATTATACAACTCCCATTCTTCAAATCAATTTATTGGTATTAATAGCAATAGTCTGGCCTCCAAGCATCTTGTTTGGTGGTCTTGCGGGTTCAAAACATGTTTTTTTGGTCATCGATCGTTTTTTAGTCGCCGAGTTCTTACCCATATCATATAGTTTAATTTGTTTCTCGCATGCAGATGGGAAAGGTGATCCTGTTCCAAATCGTGGAACCGATCCTCCTCATAACAGACGACTTGCTAGAAACTTTTCGAGGATCTTGAATGATGATCATAATTAATCACAATACTGGACTATATTAAGTCTTGGGTATTTTCATATTCTTGTGAAATTATAACCTTTCATCCTTATTGAATCTATCTTTACAAACATGAGTGTGTTCTTGGATGTGATTTCTAGTCCAAGAGCTTGAATAAAGATCATAATCAAAATTGTAGTACTACATATCCTCCAATTTCTGTGTATTATTATCCATTTGTTTTCCTTGTTGAATCTTTCTTTTTTTTTTCCTTTTTTATGATTACTATATGTGTATGAATATGATTTCTAGTTGTTAGATGTTACCGTTTAAAGTTATACTTCATGTGTTGAAGTCTAATAGTAATGGTGGTTCTAAATAACTTGTTATAGTATCGAAGTTTCGCTTCACAGTTACATTAATGAAGTGGCTCCGTTCTAAGGTTTGGAGTGCATTGTAACACGTTATGGCTTGTAATGGCGTCTTACGTTGTGCTATTTTGTAATTTTTTTTTATTTTTTTCATTAATATATGACTTGGGATAAATGTAATTATATACATGATCTATGACTTTAATAAAAACAAAATAGAAACTTGAAAACTAAAATCCTAAATATGCAAATTCTTATTCTGATTACCATATATGGAGAGTTGAAGATTGATTCCTTGAAGATTAAAGAAGTATTAAGTAGAGACTGAAGATCTAGACTTAATCCTGATTTTGTACTCTTGATATATATAGATCTAGATTGTTCTACGGTATTATTTATACAAAACACTAACACACACACACACACACACACACACATATATATATATATATATATAGTTGCAGGTTCATGGGAAAATCATACAAAATGAAAGACTGAGAAACACCCTGGTAATCATTCATCTGTACGGTATACACATGTACATATAAGTAATTTATAAGTAATATTTTGGGTAAGCACATGTGCATAGCATGCACGCATGCATAGAAACCAAGAAACAACTTCAATTACTTATATATGTACATACCATACATATTAATAGTTACCAAGAGTTTCCTCGGTTTTTCATTTTTTGAGGGTTTTCCATATTAATCTCTCTCTCTCTCTATACACACACACACACACGTGTGTGTGTGTATACATAAAAAATGCCTTGAGACGAATTTTGAGACAGAGGTTGAATTAACGAAACTGCCTAAGGTGTTTGCTTATTCACGATTTGGAAATATATGTGAATTATGTATCCTTATCAGTGGGAGAGGAATAAACGTTGGCTTATAAGAGAATGAATACCTTCTTTGTCATATGCATTTTAAAACAATGAGTTTAAATGTGGACAAAACGAATGATATTTGATAAAGTTCGTCTGAAATGTTACAAATTAGCTTGTTCCAATTTTTAAGCATTTATGCCATTTAGGGATTGTTAGTTTAAAATAAAATAAGACATATTTTTGGGACATTTGTTGTGCCTCTATATATATATATATATATATATATATATATATATATATATATATATATGAACCTTAGCTTGTAGGAAAAATTAAATTAAACTAAACTAAATAAAACAAAACACCCCAAACCTTTTGTCCTAAAGATTGGGTCAAAGCACTTTGATAGAAAGCCAAACATAACATAGAACGAAATCATAAAAAAAAAAACCTCCAATTACATCACCCAAAATCAACTCAAAGAAAAGTATGCAAACCAACAATTGTGATGACGAACTAAAGACAATGAAAAAGTATAGGGTAACGATTTAATGATTTAATTCCAATAGTTTTGCCATCTAACCTAACTTTCAAAATCAGTTGGGTTCTGTAACACCGCTAATATTGGAGGACATTTAAACCAAAAGTCGGCATAAGAAAAAACCAATAAGATATTAAATCACCCAAAATGGGGAAATAGTAACACGTTTACAACCCAAAAATATAAGAAGATAAACAACAACGTTTTAATCTAAACTACATTATGATAAGATTATGGATGGATGCCACTATTATCTTTAATTAAAAGAATCCTGTCCAAGAATAACACCAAATTGGTCAATAGATAATGATCCCGAAAGTTAACATTTGTTGTAGGAACAAATGCTTTTGCTTTGACCAATGTCTCATTTTCGGCCATGAGAATAAACATCCGATTAGCAGACATTTGGATCTGTATAACCAATCGTTTTTCAGGATAATAAATTCTACATTCTCCATGTTGCACTAGAACAACAAGGTTTCGTTCTTGGAGTTGACCAACATTGAGGAGATTACTTTTGAGCTCAGGTAAAAAAAAACACTTTAATTAGTAATTATTTGCCTAGTACCATTGACTCAAAATCTGATGTTTCTTTTACGACCTGTCTAAAGGACTCATCGAGGTGGAGAAACCAATGTTTATCACCAATCATGTGATTGATGCTACCCGAGTCGAGAAACCACATTGATTGTTTGGGTTCTTCAAATTTCAAGACACAATAACATTTCTTCCTTTGAATTTATTTCAGCATAGTGAGCTCTTTTTTTACAACTAGGACATTCATATCAGAAGTGCCCTAGTTTATGACATTTGTAGCATTCTACAATTTCTTTGTTGAAACCTTGTCTGCCTCTTCCTGTACCTCTTCCACGACCTCAGAAAAAAAGTTCGACCACATCTTCCTCTTTCACCTTCGTATGAGATATTCAAGGCTTGCTATTCGTTTCTGGCATGGTTGTTCATTCTTTGTTCATGAACTAGCAAGCTGCTTTGAAATTCATCTATTGTGAGCTTCTTTAAATTATAAGACTCCTCTACCGAACATGCCACATAGTCAAATTTGGAATTCATTGATCTCAAATTTTTCTCAATGATCATGACATGTTCCACCTTCTCACCATGAGCTTTCATCTTATTTGCAATGGATAAGGTCCGAGCAAAGTACTCATTCGCATTATCCCTTTCTTTCATTTGTACTTCAAACTCTCGTCTCAAGGCTTGTAATTGAGTTCTTTTAACCCTTATTGATACTTGATATTTTTGGTTTTATAAAATCCCATATGCTCTTAGCACTACCTTTATCAAGGATAGTCTCCAAAATTTTGTGATCAATGGCCTGAAATAGGTAGTTCTTCACCTTTAGATCTCTTAGTCGAAGTTGATTTTGTGCCTTAGAGGGCTCTGCTCCATCATTTACAGGAGAAACTCTGGTTTTTATCAGGTTCCCATACTCTTTAGAACGAAGGAGGTTCTCCATGAACATTGCCCAATGGTCATAGTGACCATCAAACTGAGAAATAGTTGCATGGGATTATTTCTCTGCAGCCATCTCAAACTTCTTTGTTCCCATCTCAGTCTTCTACCTATCTTCTTTTAATTTCACCAAGTGTTTCACTCTCTTGTATTGGGAGTTACAATTCTCGAACACTCTATCAGGGCCTAATATAGTTCTCTAATACCAAACATGAATAACTCAAGCAAACTCTTATATAAAATAACATAGAAAATCAGACTTTATGATAACAGATTTCAGAAACTGAAAAACAGAAGATGGAAAGAAGGTTAAAAGGCAGAAACAAAAGGAAGTCTTACAGACCAGGACTGTATTGGATTAATAAAGAAGACTTGTTAAAACTATATTGCTAATTGACACAACAATATCTCCTTTCATGATTCACTTTATGATCTAATGAATTTAGGATGATTTGTCATATCATCTTTATTATTTAATCATGTGATTTACATTTTAGGTACCAAAGAAAATGGTTATCATAAGGTTTAGATTATGATTTAGTAACAAATTATTACTTGTGATCACATTTGGTTAAAAGAAAATGATTAGTGATTTATTAGTTGAATGGAATGTTCGTCAATACATGCATTGTAGTATTCATAATACTTACAACTATGATTAATTATTGAGACCAATTAATATTTCATGAGATGTTGGATAGTATATTATATATATATATATATATATATATATATATATATATATATTGTATTCAGATTGTTAATAAGTAGCAGGTGACTGACCTCGTGACTTAGCACCATTAAAGAAGCATAAAAAGAGGTTGAGATTTGACGATATTTACAATTCATAACTATATTCATAATAAACAATAGCTAGAGGTATTGTTTGAAGGGTTCATCACCAAAACAACCTAACAAATGTAAACAATTATATTTTTAATCCTAAAATTTAAAATCTTAAAAACAACTCAACAAATGTAAACAATTATATTTTTAACCCTAAAATCTACCCTTTTAGTATCGTACAATGCGTATAAAGACCTTGTTACAAAAAAAAAATTATGACATAATGATAGAGATTGATTTGCAAAAAAAAAAAATTGTGCTGACAGAGGCTCCCTTGACTTGACCCGTGACCGATGGCCAAGAAAAGACCCTTACACACCGGTCGGTGTGCGGTGCGTAAGGGCCCCACCATGGACGATTTTTTTTTCTCACTTTTCTCTTAATTTCTCAATACAAAACACTATTCAATTTTGTCTTTTTACTTCTCAACCCCACTATATAAACAAATCAAATTTCATGTTACCAACACAAAACCAACACTTTAATCTTCATTTCCTTAGTACAATCTCCGTTACCTTGATACAATCTCCATTACCGAAATTTAATCGTCTACATCATGGTAAGTTTATAATGTATTAATTTTAATATAATCTCATTTTTACAGTGTGTTGTTTTATATAATCTTATTTCTACAATATATATTACTTATATTAATTTTTATATAATCTCATTTTTACTATGTAATAATTTTAATATAATCTCATTTTTATAATGTATTTTTTATGATGTTTTTAACATTTTTATATTACATCTATCAGGGGGATTATTATGAAGCATTTGTTAACATAAAATCAAGTATTGAAATTTCAAATACAAATTTGAGGGTATTGTGGAGGTCTGGAAACAGACTAGAAATGTTTAGAAATACTTGCTTTCGTCATTGGCTCGATATTCGGTCAACACATCAAGATCCGATGCTCGTGCATTTGATGTTAAAAATGCAGGTGCCACCCTTAGAGCAAGACCCTAAACAAGCACTGTATCTTTATGTTGGAGGACGTCTTTTACATTTCGAGCAAGAAGAATTTTGTCTCGTTACTGGTATGAAATTTGGCCCGATCAAGCCTTCGTTGCCAGAGCGGTCCTTTAGTTCTCGGGTTTTAGATCTTGATGAAAATTGTCTGGTACGCACGAGTGATCTTACCCGAGTTTTTGAACAACAAAAATTTGGAACAATAACAGGCATTGATGCAATACGTCTATGTCTTTTGCTTCTGGTTTCCGCTGGATTTACCGGTCAACAAACGAATCATATAGTCTCTGATAAATATTTACGGTTAGTCGAAAATTTGGATGCATGGAACATGTATTTTTTAAATATGGTATATTTTTTCGTTGTACCCTATAGTTTTATTACGTACATTGTATTACTGATCTATAATACTTTATGACACAAGTA